GCAACTGCTGACGTCAGCAGCTGATGTATATATAAACATAATAAGAAACAGTATAACAAAAATATCTTACAAAATATCTTGTTTAGTAATATTTTCCAAATACAGATACCACTAATGAAATATTGAGTCAGCTGGCTTGGACTTGTAAGATATGTTTTTAGTTAATTCAACAGATGTAGTCCTTGCTACTCTGGTAGATGGAAATCTTGATATATTCTCTATAAATATTACAAAACCATTAGCATAATGATGTTTTTGTGTGCTTGAGATACCGCTTCAACAGTATTTAATAGGTAATCTTTGTAATGCTATTTCTGAAGTTTTTCAGAACACTTCTTCAGCACCAGAGCATAATATACACAGTGAAAGAGTTTTAGGTATAGTTGATGCTCAAAAAAAAAAGGCCTAAGTGAAGAGTTAACAAAATTAATAAAACAATGTGTTGGCTGTTAGAAAAAGTCAAGTTAAACAAAGAGCTATTATAATGTTTGCTATAACACAGGGATCTTTTTCCAGGAAGTGCTTGTCATCACGTGAAAAAAATATATGAGCTGCAGCAAATATGCAACTGCTCAGAAATAAGACAAATCGAAAAGAAAATGGAAAAATCAATTAATGCCAATCTTAATAAAAATCTGTAGCTTTATCCATTTTTTCAGAGAAAGTAAAACATTTTGCGTTAACTGTTCTAAATAAAGACACAAACATTTTAGGGGAAAATATCAGCCACATTTGGGAGGTGGGTGGAAAAGATATTACATTATTTGGTTCTACTTAGTCTTTTCCATTTAAAAAAAGATTAGATTTTTTAAATATTTTGTACATTGATGATAGTGGTAAAATTAATCATTTTAGATTGAGAATTTCTTAGATTGTTCTTGGATTTGTTTTTTTTAAATTTTAATTTTTTATTTAGGTGCCTCAAGAAGACCTAAACAGTCTTGTCTCAAAGCACGTGGAAGTGCATTTAACCTGGAAGTTCACGCCTCCTTCCTTACTGTGACGCAAAAATATGAACAAAGCTCGTTTGGAACCTAGATCTTCTGCTTATAAAGCAAGCGTTCGCCTCATAAGCGAGAAACTCCGAATTTCTTAATTTGTTTCTCCGCGCAGTGACTTTTTCTTTGAGGTTCGTGTTTCGGAGTTTTAGCGTTGACAGAGGGATGTAACCACGAAAATTGCTTCCTCTACTGAAGTGGCCTTCTTGGCCTAGGGGAGGTGAATAATTAAATATATATATATATTTTTCAATTATAACCCCAGTCAACAATGCTAATTCTTTTCAATCAACTGGTTATTGGGTAAGATTTTTCCTCCAAAATAATTGCCCGAATTAAAACTACATGTTGAGAAAATTTTTGAAAACTAAATTTGCTATTATTAAACTATATATTAAAAAATGTAATTATGCCGCGGTTTAGAAGTTTGTTTATCTTTACATTTTAATTCACATTTTGAAATAACACTTTTCAAAAATTTAAGCAAACGTATTTTTTTTCAAGTTTTATATCAATAACTATTTTTTTTTTTTTGGTTCTTTAAAACTAAATAACTTTTTTTCTTTTCATGATATAATCATAATAAAATCATCTTTAGAAAGATAGTATTAAGCTCTATTTATCTTGGTAATTTATTAACATAAGGTTCAGTTTAAAATTTTGATCGAAGTGCCTAATATAGCTTAATGTACCTATGAAAAGTAATGCCATCAGCACAATATCTGGCAGTAAATCCATAGGCAAAACAAGTCATGTCAATTTATATCTTTTTATTAACTTTATAACCTGCACTCATATGAATCATGTAAAGCTAAAAAAAAAAAAAAAAAAGAGTTTAATAAATATGTTTATAGTTGCACATGTAATATATATTTATTTTAAATTGCTTAAATATAGGTAAAAATTCACAAACACTTGGTTTTATTTACAAAAATCATTTATACTATCTGAAATACAATACTTCTAGTATCGTGTTGAAAAACAGTCATCTGAGTGTTTATTACAGTATTCCAAATGCTATTAGAATAAACTAAAAAAAGCAATCAGTTAGCAAATAATTCTTTATAAAATAATACAAACAGACAAAAAATTCAATCATTTGGTGCAATCTTTTGACTAGATTTTCAAAAAGTTTTTATTAAAATTTTAAGTTCCGTGAAATGTTTTTGGTTACCCAAGATGTCGGTTGTTTTAATAACTGGCATCAAAAAAGTCAAGTGGCACGTTTCCTGTTTATTAAATCTCTTTGGTTACGGTTAACGTCGCTAGTGTGAACATGGCATTAAAGACGATGGCTCTTGAATCCATTCAGAAAATGATTACTTAATTACCCGAGTAAATATAAATGCCGTTTAGACTAACTTGCAGCATATTTAAGTACGGAAGCATAGAAATACCTAGATATCAAAATATATACAATCCAACTATTTAATAAATAACAAATATTTTATGCATAATAAGATAACAATATTATATAACATCACTGTGTTATATATATATATATATATATATATATATATATATATATATATATATATATATATATATATATATATATATATATATAAGCAATTTTAAAATGTATTCTTCAAAATAGAGTACCTAATGTTCTTAAAAAAACAGAGCAATAAAAAATTAGTAGAAAATCATTTAACAAAATTTTAATACATAATTTTGTTGTTAAATGAAAAAATTTTGTTGAGTGATTATCTACTAATTTATATATATATATATATATATATATATATATATATATATATATATATATATATATATATATATATATATATATATATATATATATATATATATATATATATATATATATATATATATATATATATATATATATATATATATATATATATATATATAGATACATATATATATACATATATATATATATATATATATATATATATATATATATATATATATATATATATATATATATTTATATATATATATATATATATATATATATATATATATATATATATATATATATATATATATATATATATATATATATATATATATATATATATATATATATATATATAGAGGCAAAATATGTAAAAATTAATAGTTTGAGATTAATTTTCAAAATATAAAAAACAAAAGTTATAACTATTGATGCATATACTTTGGTGCCAACAAAATATAAACAAGAGAGTAAGTCGCCGACCATGTTTTCTTTCATACATCATAGATGATTATTGTTTACGGTTGGACGATTTTATAATACCTTCACCCTCTGTAATTGTGAAACATTTCATGGAATTTTATTTAAACGTTGTATATGTTGCATTTTATTGATTGCAATCTTCGTATATATGTCAGCATGTTAAAAAGATTTTGCGATACCCGAGTAAATATAAATGCCGTTTAGACAAACTTGCAGCATATTTAAGTACGGAAGCATAGAAATACCTAGATATCAAAATATATACAATCCAACTATTTAATAAATAACAAATATTTTATGCATAATAAGATAACAATATTATATAACATCACTGTGTTATATATATATATATATATATATATATATATATATATATATATATATATATATATATATATATATATATATATATATATATATATATATATATATATATATATATATATATATATATATATATATAAGCAATTTTAAAATGTATTCTTCAAAATAGAGTACCTAATGTTCTTAAAAAAACAGAGCAATAAAAAATTAGTAGAAAATCATTTAACAAAATTTTAATACATAATTTTGTTGTTAAATGAAAAAATTTTGTTGAGTGATTATCTACTAATTTATATATATATATATATATATATATATATATATATATATATATATATATATATATATATATATATATATATATATATATATATATAGAGGCAAAATATGTAAAAATTAATAGTTTGAGATTAATTTTCAAAATATAAAAAACAAAAGTTATAACTATTGATGCATATACTTTGGTGCCAACAAAATATAAACAAGAGAGTAAGTCGCCGACCATGTTTTCTTTCATACATCATAGATGATTATTGTTTACGGTTGGACGATTTTATAATACCTTCACCCTCTGTAATTGTGAAACATTTCATGGAATTTTATTTAAACGTTGTATATGTTGCATTTTATTGATTGCAATCTTCGTATATATGTCAGCATGTTAAAAAGATTTTGCGTTTAGTTTAAATTCTTGTTTATAATTTAAGTAAAAAAAAAAGTTATTTTTTTATAGAAAATTTAATGCTATTTTATAGTTTATAACTGTTGTAAGTATTGCTGCTTTAGTGAGTAACACTTTTATCGCAGAGCTGTTAAATAACTCGTTTATACCGAGTTGTTAATTAGCGTGGTATCAAGGATTTTAAGTAATGGCAAGTATCAAATACAAATTTTTTATTTCTTAATATTTAACTTAGAAGACGGGGATATCAGGGACACGAAAATACATTTTACAATAATAAGCGGGGCCACCGAGAGGGAGGGGGCACCAGGACGTTGTCCATGGGGCGCTAGATGCCGAAGTAAAATAAAATAGTTTTTTTATTCTAAAAATTCTATAACTAAAATGTATATATTACTCGCATTATATCATTGTTTTTTATTCCTCGAAAAGTTTAAAAAAAATACGAACTCATCATTGATTTCGTATTCTATACGCTATTAAATTAAAAATGTCCCTTGAGATTTTTGCATTCATCAGACTAAAGTAAAAAAAACGCAAACGTTGATAATTAGCGATAGCAAACTGTGAATACAATTTAGAAATAATTTTATTCAGAATTTAGAAAGTAATAGTAATTATTTTTTAACTATTCGTTATGATCGACTTATATATGGTATTTCATGTTTACGATTTATTTATATTTTAACTATTGAAATATTGATTTATGACATTAGCTTTTTGAGTTTATTATTTTTTGATGAGTTTGCGTATTTGACTTGGCTATTATTTTATTGATGCGTACTGTTATTTACAGTAACTGTTAATAATGAATCGTAAAAAACTTTCTGGTGCCCAAAATCGGGCATTGGCTTCCAAAAGGGCAAAAGACTGTGAAAAAAATAAACAAACGCTCCAAGAATTAGGTTGGTTTTACAAAACTACTAATCAAAATACTGATTTGAAGGTGAGTTAGTAGAAATATATAGGTCAATAAATATATTTCTTTTTTTCCGAAGCAATTTAAGAAAAATAGTTAAACATTTTTTAAGTCGGCGGAATTAAATAAATCAGAACAAACAATGGAATCATCGTATTATGATGATGTTGATCTACATTCTCTTGGGTCAGTGGAAAATGAAACAGACGACAGTTTTAACGATGAATTAAAACCCGAAGAAAATAAAGGGGTTTATACAAACAATAATTCGAAATAGTTAAATAATTAATTAAGTATTAGGTTTTAATTAATTTTTTTTAATTCAGGCGTTGAAAATGACCCAGCACTCTGGCCATTCGATTCTTAAGCAAAGAGAAAAAGAAGAGTTAATCAAAAAAGGTCCGTCAACTTTACCTGATGATTTCCCACGAGATGCTACTAATAACAGGGTCTTTCCAAAAGAAGTTCTTTTCATTGCATTGCCTTATGGAGAAAAAGTTCAACGAGATTATCTGATATGGAGCCCATTGTCTAACTCTCTACTTTGTTTCCCGTGTTCTTTATTTAGGTGTGAAAATTCCGGATCCTATGGGGATCGATCTCTTCTTCGCTGGAATGGAGGAATAAAAAGTGACTGGAGAAAATTGAGTGATCGTATCAAAAGACATCATAGCAACCCAGTTCATCAAAGTCATTATCTCAATTGGAAGACTTTGCACTCAGCTCTTGTCGATCAGTGCGGGATCGACTCAGAGTTCCAAAAGGCACTAGAAAAGGAAGTAGCCAGATGGCGTGAAATACTTCGTTGTATTTTAGATACAATTTTATTTTTAACATCTCAAACTTATCCTTTAGAGGTAAATATTCTAGGCCAGAACTCTAAATACTTAAGAATAAGTTCTTATTTTTAGTATTACAGAATTTCTATTATCTACATTTAACTAACTTAGAAAACATTGTTTTAGGGCAATATTCGTCGATGGAGAAAAACGAGAAAGGGAACTTTTTAAGTTGCCTTGAACTTATTTCTCGTCACAACGAAACATTAAAGAATCATCTTGAAACAGTTGCTCGTCATCAAAATAAAGGAACCAGAATACAAGCTCACTATCTCTCCTGGCAATCACAAAACGAATTCATCAGTGAATACGCTACATTAGTTCAAGCAGCAGTTGTGAAAGAAGTAAAAGATGCCGTATATTTTACAATAATTACCGATAGGACCCCAGATGTATCTCACACCGAACAAATCACGTTTATTCTTCAATTTGTGCGATTCAACTCGGGTAAGATGATTTGGGAAGTTAAAGAATGATTTCTCTGCGTTGAAGATATGGAGAAAAAGAAAGGTGCAGATATTGCTTATTTAATTCGCAACGTTTTAGCGAAAGTGAATCTCGATTTACAAAAATTGAGAGGCCAAGGATACGACAATTGTTCTAATATGGCTGGAATATATAATGGAGCCCAAGCTCATTTAATGGAAAAAAATCCGTTCGCTTTATACATTCCTTGCGGTGCTCATAGTTTAAATTTAGCTGGAGTTTATGCTGCTGAGTCTTGCGCTGAGATCAAAACGTTTTTTAGCAATATGCAAGCCCTCTACGTGTTCTTTAGTTGCAGTCCAGCAAGATGGAAAATTCTTCACGAAGAGACTTCTTTATCACTTCACAATCTCTCAGATACTAGATGGTCAGCCCACATAGCAGCTGTAAAACCTTTAGTGAAAAAACCACGAGAAATCATTGCTGCTCTGGATAGAACCGTTAATCAACTTGACCTAACTGCGGACATGTTGAATCAAACAAAATCGTTGGGCAAATATTTTAAGTCATTTGAATCAGTAGTTCTTCTGACCATTTGGTATAAGACACTGCAAAATATTGATAATGTTAGTCGATGTCTCCAGTCGGAGTCAATCACCATTGAAGAAGAAGTCATCCTCATTCAACTACTTTTAGATGACCTAGGTCGCATTCGTTCGTTGTGGAATTGTATTTTGACTGAAGCAAAGCTAGTGGCTGGAAACCTAGACTTTGAAACAGAATTTAAATTAAAACGCACAAGAAGAGTGAAAAAATTCCACGAGGAACCATCAAATACAGCCCACTACCACGACGATACAGAAAAGAATTTTGAAGTAAATATTTTCAACGTGGCATTGGACCACATAATTCTGAAAAAAGTTTTTTCTCAGTTTTCCTTTATCTGGTTTCAGTCTGAAGACCCTTCTTCACAAGATGACAAAGCTCGTCAACTTGAGAAATTCTATTCAAATGACGTTAAAGAAGACGATCTTATTGAGGAAATTTGCCACTTTGAACGGTTAAAAGCATCGTCCTTGTTCAGTAAAGGCAACTCTCTCAATCTTTTAAATCAAATATATTCCAAAGGCTTACAACCAACTTTCCCGTCGATATGCATACTTTTGCGCATCTTTCACCCAATGCCAGTTTCCGTTGCAGAGGGTGAAAGATCTTTTAGTAAACTGAAGATTATAAAAAACCACTTCAGAGCCCCCATGGGACAAGAGCGAATTTCAAATCTTATGGCGGTAATATGATGAAGTAATTTCTAATTTTGCCTCGAAAAAAGCTCGAAAATTTTATTTAAATTAGGAATTGTTCATGATGTGGTTAGTTAGAAAAAAAAAAAATAAATAAAAAACTAAAGTAGCTATAAAGACATACTGTATTATTTTCCTTCTATGCCAAGTAAATGTATATACTTGGAGCCGTGGCGCAGTGGTTAGAGCATTGGAGCAGTGGTTAGAGCATTGGAGTCGTGACTCAAGGGTTGCGGGTTCGATCCAAGCTCGAAGCACATAAACGTTATCGGTGAAGTTGGGAAACGGAGAGCAAACTTAATAAATGCTGTTCTCATTGTGGCGGTGCTCTGTGACAAGACCATTAGGACTTCTTAGGGCACCTTATTAACTGAAAAAAAAAAAAAAAAAAGTGAAATCCATAAGGGTGCCAAAAAATTTGTTGTCCCGGGCGGCTTGAAGGCTCTCGGCGGCCCTGATAATAAGTAAATGTAAAAGATTTATTTAGGTTAATTATTAGGTTAAATTGGAGTCAACTTTTAAACTTTTTGTAAAATAATAAATTTTCTGTCATAAATCGATGTACTTTTGCTCAAAAGTAATGAAAATAGGTTTTATTTTGAATAATTTTCAAAACCCAGAACACAAAATTTTGAAGCCTATATTTATCTTAAATCTTATAAAACTTTCTAAAATTTTCAGTTTCAAAAAAAGCCTTCAAAAAGTTTATGGAAATTAGCAATATTCAGGCTATATAAGTTGCCTGATTGAGCATTGTTAATATATATATATATATATATATATATATATATATATATATATATATATATATATATATATATATATATATATATATATATATATATATATATATATATATATATATATATATAAATTATGTTAGTGTATTCTACAAACTAAGTGCTCAATGTTCTTAAAGAGCAGAGCAATAATAAATTAGTAAAAACACCAATCTAATTTTTAGTTTTCTTCTATATAACGTTTCTCCATCATATATATATATATATATATATATATATATATATATATATATATATATATATATATATATATATATATATATATATATTAATGATATTTATTTTTTTATTTCGTTATTGCTAATACAATGATATAATCTCATTCATAATAGCGATAAAAAATAGTATATTTTGTTTTAGTTATATTTAGTGATAATTTGTTTGCTTTAACACGGCTGTTTCAAATCGAACTTTACGGCTTCTTGTTATTTTTTAAAAATATTGATTTAAAGGGCCTTACTAAAGCATTTATAACTTTTGAAATATAATAGGATATTTAGTTTAGTAAAAAGAATGAAAATACCAATAAAATGTTTCATCTTATGACATTTAATTCATTAGTAAAAAAACTTTCTTTAATTTAGAATAAACGTGACAAATGATGCTCTTGGCTGACTTTTAGTAATTTGATGTTACTTTTTATCGAAAAAAAAAAAAAAAAAAAAAATTAAAAAAATATATTTCTGATAGTACGTTTTGAAATCTAGAAGTTCTTATTTTAGAATATAATTTTGCTGAGCTGATAAACTCATTAAATTTTAAAATAAAGCCAGATTTCAATTTTGGTATATTAAATTTTTATGGAATATTTAGTGTCTAAACATTTAAATCAAGCATTTAAAAAAATTAGTAATTCTTTCTGTGCATACAGTTCTAATATGGTGTAAGGTTGTTAATAAATAAAGACTCACCTAGTCTAATAAAATAATTCATGACTAAAATCAAGTTAAAGTTTTTAAATTAACCTCACTTTTGCAAAAGTGAGGTTAATTTAAAATAATTTTATACCAAAATTTTGGTAGAAGAATTATTTTATGGCACTTGAATCAATAATTAAAATAAAGCAAAGAACATTAAAAACATTTAGTTGATTAAGAATATTTAAACATTTAAACATTTAGTTTATTAAGAATATTTATGTCTATTAAAAGAGGTTTTAGACGTGCTAGATGCTTCTGTTGCCGATAAAGAGGTTCTAATTGACTATTATTAGCACTACCCCACGCAATGTTAGCATAGTTTACATGACATTGGATTAGCGAGTAATAAAGTTGAATTAATGCATGTCTATTTACAAAATTTCTCGCTTTATACAACACTCCAATATTTTTCGAGACTTTATTGCATAATGTTTTGATATGATTTTTCCATGTTAAGTTTTCATCAAAAACACCAAGGAAATGTATAACTTTTGATTGCTTTATTTGAACATTGTCAATATATATTTGAGGCATATCATTTGGTAAAAGTTTTTTTTTAGATTTAGGATGAAATAGAGTCCATTGAGTTTTTTTCTAATTAATTAATAATAGACAAGTTAATTGATAATTTATTTGTCTTAAAATTTTAACTAACTCTATGTTTATGTCATTCATCAAATCTTACGTCATTCATCAAAAAAGTTACGTTTTGCAATTAAAAACGATAATTTAAAAATACAAATGTTTTAAAAACAAACAAAAAAAAATCACCAGGATGACGTAGAAATTTGATAGAATGAACATTCATGGCTTAGTGTTTAAAATTTCAACTATCAAGCACAGAGCTATGTTATCAAATCTTAGTTGGCCCAACTCAGGTTTTCCGAAATCCAGAAAAGTGGTTCTAAAAATATTTATTTTTATTTCACTTAATGTAAATATTTATTTAACAAGGAAAGATGGATCTTTTATACTTTTTTTATCTAAAGATAAAAGCATATATAGAAAAAAATTACTATTATTTGAAAGTTTTATTCGGAAATACTTTTTTGTTGTTGATAAACTCATGTTTTTATATTGAGTGAAACAGTCGTGCTAAACCATTCAGCAAGGTATTGTAGTTCTATGTGTTTACAGTTTTAAATAACATTTTTATATCATTGTGAGCAGAAAATAGAATAGTATCATTCGCAAACAAAATCTAATACTTTACAAGATTTGCTTAAATTATTGATATATATTAGAAATAAGAGCGGTCCTTATATAGTTCCTTGTTGTTCTCAACAAGATATATTCATATTGTTAGTTTTTGCGCAATTATGAGAAATGTATTGCTGTATATTTGACAGGTAGCTTTTAAACCATTTTAGGTTTTAGTGTTTAATATTGTAGTTTTTTAATTTGCTTAATAAGATATAGGGGAGAGTCGGGTAGCCCCGGACACTTCAGGAAAATATAGGTTGCACACATCTGCTAACATAAAACAAAGTGTCAAAAGACTTTTTTTAAAAGTTCAAACATTCATCTATCGAATTAGAAATTTTTATAATGAAAATAAACACTTTAAAAACACTTTTTTCAAATCTAATGTTTTTTTATTGGAATTAAATGAGTTACTATTATAGGTTTGTGCATAATATTAAATGTATTAATATTTATATAAAAAAAAACTGTTTATTATTATTATGCAAACGAATTAAGTTGTCCGGAGCCACCCTCCAATCATGTGTCCGATACCACCCGATCATACCTCATTCACAAATACTAGTTTTAAAACCAGTGAATTAAAGTTTTAAACGAACTTTTTTTTAAATAACTATTGTAAATAAAAATGCATCTTTAGTCATTAAAAAGTTATTAGTTTATATAACAATTAGATATAATAATATGTGAATCAAATATGATGATACGTCGCTCTTCTGGTGGTGGGAAACAATATCTTGCCCTCCCAGTCATTCGCTTCGACATATTATGATATTTTGCATATGCCATATTTCACTCAAATAATGTTATTATAGTATTAAAAGTC